TATATATATATATATATATATATATATATAAAGAGCCAGAGGAAGCTAAAAGCATAGTCACATGTGATTGGAGGGCAGTATTAGCCAGAAAAAGATGAGTAGAGAAGAATGTAGGCAACTTGGTTGATGGAACTTCTGACATAGACTTCTGATGGGACTTGTATTCTATAATAGTTACAGCAACTCTCTTATTAAACCATGAATTGAACTACTCCCAACTAAGCTAAGAACATCCACTTAAAGAAATGGTGCAGTGTAATTTAACACGGTATGAACAAACATCAATATTGACTATAAAGCTAATTTGCTGCTATATCTTTAAATATCTTTTCAGATCTGATGCAGAGAGTACAGCTGTCCACCTGGAAGCTTTGAAAAAGTTAGCACTGGCATTGCAGGAGAGGAAGTATGCTATTGAGGATCTGAAAGAGAAAAAGCTGAAAATGATAGAGCATCTGAATTTAGATGACAAGGAGTTAATCAGAGAACAGACAAGTCACTTTGAGCAACGCTGGTTTCAGCTTGAGGACCTTGTTAAAAGGAAAATCCAAGTGTCGGTCACCAACTTGGAGGAGTTAAATGTGGTGCAGTCCAGATTTCAGGAGCTGATGCAGTGGGCGGAAGAGCAACAACCCAACATCGCGGAGGCCCTTAAGCAGAGCCCCCCTCCTGATATGGCTCAGAACCTTCTCATGGATCACCTGGCCATTTGCAGTGAACTAGAGGCCAAACAGATGCTCCTGAAATCGCTCATGAAGGACGCTGACAGGGTGATGGCTGATCTCGGCCTAAATGAGCGCCAGGTCATCCAGAAGGCGCTCTCCGATGCACAGAGGCACGTGAACTGTCTCAGTGACTTAGTGGGCCAGCGAAGGAAGTACTTAAACAAGGCCTTGTCTGAGAAAACCCAGTTTCTCATGGCAGTGTTCCAGGCGACCAGCCAAATTCAGCAACACGAGCGAAAGATAATGTTCCGTGAACATATCTGCCTGTTACCAGACGATGTGAGCAAACAAGTTAAAACGTGTAAGAGTGCACAAGCCAGCCTCAAGACCTACCAGAATGAGGTCACTGGACTTTGGGCCCAGGGTCGTGAATTAATGAAGGGAATCACGGAGCAGGAGAAGAGCGAAGTGCTCGGTAAGCTTCAGGAATTGCAGAGTGTCTATGACACCGTTTTACAAAAGTGTGGTCATCGGTTACAAGAACTAGAGAAAAATTTAGTTTCTAGGAAGCATTTTAAGGAAGATTTTGATAAAGCTTGTCATTGGCTAAAACAAGCAGATATTGTTACATTTCCTGAAATCAACCTGATGAATGAGAGTACTGACCTTCATACACAACTGGCCAAATACCAACACATTCTTGAACAATCTCCAGAATATGAAAATCTTCTACTTACCCTACAAAGAACTGGACAAGCCATATTACCTTCGCTGAATGAAGTCGATCATTCCTACCTCAGTGAAAAGCTAAATGCTTTGCCCCAGCAATTTAATGTCATTGTTGCCTTGGCTAAAGATAAGTTCTATAAAGTCCAAGAAGCAATTCTTGCTCGGAAAGAATATGCTTCCTTGATTGAGTTGACAGCCCAGTCTCTGAGTGAACTCGAAGACCAGTTCTCGAGGATGAGCAAAGTCCCCACCAATCTAATTGTGGAAGAGGCTCTGTCTCTTCTGGATGGTTGCAGAGCTCTGCTGGGTGAGGTGGTGAGCCTCGGGGAAGCAGTGGACGAACTGAACCAGAAAAAAGAAAGTTTTCGCAGCACAGGTCAGCCTTGGCAACCAGACAAGATGCTGCACCTCGTCACCTTGTATCACAGGCTGAAGCGACAAACAGAACAAAGGGTTAGCTTATTAGAAGACACCATGAGTGCTTACCAAGAGCACGAAAAGATGTGCCAGCAGCTAGAGAGACAGCTAGAGTCTGTAAAAGCAGAGCAGTGCAAAGTGAATGAGGAAACGCGGCCTGCAGAGGAGAAGCTCAAAATGTATCACTCTCTGGCAGGAAGTCTCCAGGACTCGGGAATTCTACTAAAGCGAGTGACGGTGCATCTCGAAGATGTTGCTCCACACCTTGACCCCTCAGCATATGACAAAGCCAAGCATCAGATCCAGTCCTGGCAAGAGGAGCTGAAACTGCTGACTTCTGCCATTGGCGGGACGGTGGCAGAGTGTGAGAGCAGAATGGTGCAGAGCAGAGACTTCCAGACTGAGATGCGCCGCTCCCTGGACTGGCTGAGGAGAGTGAAGGCGGAACTCAGTGGGCCGGTCTGCCTGGACCTCAACCTACAGGACATCCAGGAGGAAATCAGAAAGATCCAGATTCATCAGGAAGAGGTCCAGTCCAGCTTGAGGATCATGAGCGCCCTGAGTAATAAGGAAAAGGAGAAATTCACGAAAGCCAAGGAGCTGATCTCTGCTGATTTAGAACACACCCTCGCTGAACTCTCAGAGCTCGATGAAGACATTCAGGAAGCT